AAGGTAAACTATTAAAATTTTTGTTTTAAAAATGTATTTATTTAATTAAAAACATAAACTTTAAGCACAACAGAAAAAAAAGATATAAAATGAAAGGCAGAAGAAAGAAGAAATAAACAAAAACATAAATATAATATTGTATTATTTTGTGTTCACCATTAATTTATAATATACTATGATTAATAAGCACTACAAACTTCTTATAGCTTTTCTCTTACCTGTTTTAATCCATGCTGGATCAGATCCTGATGCTTGAAACARGAGGCAGAAAGCTACACAGCATTAGCCTCGCTACTAGCGGTTAGCTTAGCATTGTTGTTTATCTAGGTCCAGGAAAACGATGGAGTGTAAACTCTCCCTCTTCTTTGGTCTGRTGCTCTTCGTGTCCATCGTGTGTTCTCATCAAATAGGTTGTGTTTAAGAGACTTAGCTGAGTTGTTAGCTCCATTTGTTTATTCGCTCGCTCCGTCCTGCTCTAACAGAACATGGCGTCGACCCGCTACCGAGACTCCTTGTGACCTACTGCGCATGCCCAGAACATTCATGAGTAAAATGAAAGTTTATTTATTAATAACTATATAAAACGTATGTTACACATCTAAAACGTACATAGATATTTCTGCTAAACATTTTATTTTGTTATTTCGTTTTTATATATTTTTTTCTGTCCCAAAAAATAGTGGTGGGGCGGCGCCATAGCGCCCTCTATTGACCAGCCACCACTGCTGTCGATAGAATATTTCATACCATTTTTTGTACTGTACTTTGTTTTTGTTTGTCAAGGACTAAGTTTACATCAACAAACTTTTTATTAGAACATAAAACATCGTATCYAACAGAAGATAATATCTAGGTAGGCAAGAAGACGAGTAACTCTGAAAATTAAAGTTTAAGGACCAAATTACACTGCATTTTTTTATGCGCAAACCGTCCTGAAACTAACTAGGTATTCAAAGACAAGTTAGCTAACTGCTAGCATGTTATGTTGTTAGTTTAACTAATTGTCTTTCATGTTAACGTATGTCTATATTACATTGTTAGCCGCGGCCACCTTTCCACCCAACCTACCTTTGCAACGTGTCCTGCTCTTACAGGCCCAACCTGTCCAAAAGGTGAAAAAACAGCAGCATAGATTTCAAAATTGAAACCACACCCTAAATGAAGCACAGCCAAACTGTTTTTACCTTAGTTATTTATAGTCTGAAACGTGGTCACACAAAGAGCTCCTTGTAGTACTACATTTTCTGTTTCCTGCACACATTCACACAACGGCATTCACACAATAATAATAAAGAGAAACACGAAAACAATAATACTAAACAATTATAATAATTATAATTATAATAAAATATATAAAACACAATAATACAATAATAGTTACATCTCCTGAAAATATCAGCCCTGAACATGTGTCATCTTTTTATTTCAAGTAGTCTTAAATGAGTAACACCAAATTAGGCATTGAGATAATGTTTTTAATTTAATGTTTAAAGCTTTTATTCTATTTACAAAGCAACATTAAAAACACTATCCTGCCTCTATTTTTGTTTTCAGTTTCTTTGTCATTAAATGCAAAAAAAATCAAATTTTAAAACAGAATAAAAAAAAATCTATATGCTACAGAAGGCAAGTTAATGATTTATCCAAACTTGTATTTTATTTTATTTTATTTTAGTTTAGTTTAGTTTATGTGAAGTCAGAGTAATATTTTCTTTATGGATATCTGTATGTCAACACTGTGCACTGTGTTGAAAGTCATAAATACATTAAATCATCAGTAGCCTGTGTACAAGTCAGCAAATCGTGTCTCCTGCATACGGGTTTATAAGTGATGTCATGTGACCTAAACTCAGCCATCTTGTGGAAAAACGAATAGAGAGAGCCACTCAACAACACGCATACAAACCCCGAGCTGTCACAACTAGTCGAGGTAAGACAGCTAAAGTTTCATACACTAACCAGGAAAATATCTACATTTGAGTAAAGTGCCATAAGACACGGGCATTTTCTCACAATCGGTGGTTGATAAGAGTTGTTAAAACCAACCATGTTGACTTGGCCTCGCAGCACCGGACTCCGGTGAGTCCGTGTACCGATTGGGTTGCGCCAAGTGCGGTGACAGTTGCTGTGGATCCAGGCTGCTCGGGAAGGCCGCGTGTAGCTCTTAGCTAATCCGTTAGCCTGCTAGGTATAAATGTTAATCATATAAACTCGCTTATGTCGGAACAATTGTTACATGAAACACATGGTTTTAATATAAAGCCACTGAAATGTCCAAATGTGACTTCTATAAGTATTTCTTATTTTGGAATAAAACGCTTATTGCTAGCTGGGGCGCTAGCTCATATGGGTGTCGTGTTGCAACAGCGTGTAGCTAATGGGGTTACTTTTAACTACAACTCCAGTGCCTCTTTTCACCCCGTCTATACACTACAGTCAGTTTTTATTTATTTTTACTATTCATTACATCAGATAAAGTATCCTCGGTGAATCGTTTATATTATTAATTTGGTTAGCTCGCCCTTTTTTTATTTATTTTGTGCCACCGCAGTGTTGGCAAGTGATTTCTGCTTAACCTTTTTGAGTGATCACTTCACAGATATTCGGTACCGTCTGTTTAAGGTCAGCTTCAGCCTAATGTCTAGCAAAAATGCTGTAGGATTTGTTAAATTGTATCTGATATCCACGTTATAAAGCACTGACTCATCGCTTTACACAACAACCATAAAAACTCTGCTACAAAGGAGTCACTTTATCTCCTAATTTAAAGAGTGAATTTGTTACATTTACCATGTTTGTTCATGTTCTGGACTGATTGGGCCATTTTCAGCAAGTCATCATGCAAACTCAGATGTTTTGTTTTCAGTAAACAGTGGAAAATAAGCCAACCACACAAGATACTTCCTGTAGTTTGTCCCCAAAAATTGCTGAATTTATTGCTCAAAGTGAGAACTTACACAGTCCTGTAGCTTTTTGTGGCATTTTTACGTAATAAAAAGTTAACAGGGACATCTGTGAATCCAAGATTTTTTTTGTAAGGATTTGTTTTTGTTATTATTATTATTTTAGCTTATTTACCTAAGGACACCTCTTTTGTCAATTACAGGTGTCTGACATGAACTGCAGTCTGGGAGACTTCCTAAAATAGCTTTTAGCCTATTGAAATCTTATACGGTTTGAGTGCCGGTGGGATGGGCCGTGTGTTTTAAGAGGCTGAAATACATAAAACCAAGTGACACAAACCTATTTTTTCTGTTTTCGAATAATAAAAGAAATCCGTTCATGCATTATAATAAAGAGAAAAATGTTACTTAAGCCGTTCTGTTAGTTTGAAAGGCACACCCATATTTCTCAGGCACTGAGCGATCAGCTAGGTTGGACATCAAAACGTTTCCCTTTTTTTTTCCATTAAAGATACTCGGGTTGTTTTGAAGAAGTTAAGCTAATAAGTTGCATTACTAACATATAAATACCCTGCAGAGATAATAAGTTTCTTCATCGAAACCGATTACATTAATTACTATTTAATTATGCAAGCTAGTAAAATGTGATGCTAACCCTGCTTTCTTTTCTTTCTTTCTTTGGCTTGTTTGTAGAACTCCAGGAAAAAAAATGGCCGAAACCCAGACTCTTAACTTTGGACCAGAATGGTAAATATACTAGTATGATTGAATGATCGGTGTGGGAGAATACGTTCTGAGACACATTTTCAGTTTGAGCTTAATGCAAGTTTTCCAGCCTGTTCAGACTTGTCACCTGCCTCCCCAGCTTTGGTTGTCATCTCTTGTTTCTCACTTCGTTTAGCTTAAAAATGGCTTCTGTCTCTGCAGGCTCCGTGCTCTGTCTGGAGGTGGTGGTGGTGGTGGTGGTGGTGCTGGAGTTGGTGGAAGTAGCAATGCCATTGCCTCTCCACCCCTCTCGCCAGCATTGCCAAAGTATAAACTTGCAGACTATCGCTACGGGAGAGAAGAAATGTTAGCACTTTATGTAAAGGATAACAAGGTGAGTCGGTTCTCAATCCTTACATTGTTGCTTTTAGTTGACATAATTTAGTTTCAGAATGAGGTGTTGTTGTTTTTTTGTCGCAGTCATTTTAAAAGTTTTAATTAAAATTAAACATATTTCTCTCCTCCAGATCCCTATAGACTTACATGATAAGGAGTTCCTGTCCATACTGCAAGAGGAACCCTTACCACCTCTGGCACTTGTGTCTTTTACAGAGGAGGAGCAGGTTGGGGCACTTTTTATATTAAGTCATTTTATTGGAAAAAAAAAAAAATAATAATTCTTGTCAGACTGATTCTTTAAGTTGTAGTTTTTTTAATGTCCAAGACTGTTCCAAGGTTTCCTAATAAAGATTAGGAGCAAGGAACAGAGCTGCCAGCTTAATGTTTGCCCTATTTGATTTCTCTCTCTCCTCCCCTCCCTCCCCCTGTTTGTGTCTGCAGAGAAACTTTTCCATGTCTGTAAACAGCACAGCTGTACTTCGGCTGACAGGGCGAGGAGGCGGACCAATAGTTGGGGCACCAAGAGGCCGAAGTACATCAAGAGGTAGAGGTAAGAATCCAACTGAGATCACACACGTAAGGGTCATATTTCACTGCACTTGTTCCGAGTGGTTGTAAGAGCGAACTGAAGCTGTGGAGTCAAAATCACGGGTTTTTCGGGTTTTTCAGTTGGCGTTTGTTTAAACAGTTTTATGCTCGTGGCTTCAGAGTGGCTCCAACAACTGCAGATGGTTGGGATGCCTTTGAGCAGCCCACCATTTCTCCCACAGTTTGAGACCGGGGGTGTAACAGGGTTTAGTGCTCACTTGTGTACTCAAACCTCAGCTGCTAAAACTTGTAATTGAGTGACTCTAAAGTTATAAACCTTTTTCCCCAAAACTCTTTTTGTCTAACAATTGATGGGGCTTTAATTTCAGAATAATGTTGGTTAACATTTTCATAAATCCTCACACATTTAAAATCAGTGTGAAAAAAGGTTTGAACTCCTTTCAGACAAATTGTCCTYAACTGTTCACTCAACACAGGCAGTGGTGCAGAAACTAGGAAGAACTGTCTTTATGTCTTTAATTCTAGAGATCACAATGCAGTCTTTACATTCTCCCCCTCTGTTTGCAAGGCTGCATGTTCCTCCCGTTGTGTCTGTTTTGGATATAAACCTTGGTTTGATTCATTCAAATTAAAAACGCTATCAGAACTGCAACCTCAGGTTTTTTAGCTAGGGTTTTGGAAGAAGGTGTCAACACTTCAAACTTAATACTAGTCTTCACTCTACTACTAAAAGAGAGTGAAAGTAAAAGCAACAAGCTATAGTTTGGACTGTGTTAATTTGAAAATGGAGACAAAGTGAAGCTCAGGGGGTGAAAGACAAGTTGTCTCCTCTTTCTGCTGCAGACGAGACATAAACTGTTGCCTTAGATTTATTTATAATGCATGCTGGTTATAGTGAAAGGTTAATTTTAAGTGTAATGCACAAAATATTTTGATCAACTCTGACATAGATGGTTTGTGCTGAAAGATATTGTCTGTCTTGCAGAGAACAGTTGAACTTAAAAGCTACCCAGGCTGTTTTATTGTCCTCTGTGTACACAAGGAAAAGGACAGGACAGTGTTAGGACTCAGCAGATGTTGGGGAAAGATAATGGTTTTTCCATTCAGTATGTTTGTGCATCGGTAAAGAAAATGTAAACAAATAAAAATTCCACAATCATTCTAATGGTCCAGGAGGACATGTTTTAACTATTTAGTTTCACACTAAATTAACTGTCCAACCAGGTAAATTCATACGTGTTGATTTGTTCAGTCTGTGTCACCTTTTGATGTCAGGACGGGGAAGAGGCGACGGAGGATTTTACCAAAGAAGTTTTGATGATGTGGAAGGTTTTGGTCGTGGAGGGAGAGAAATGCACCGCTCTCAAAGCTGGGAAGAAAGGTACTGGAATTAAAAAAAAAAAAAAGAAATTAGGATGTTGAGTAACCCAAACAAGTGCAGATTTTACGTTGTGTGTTTCAGTCATTGCTTAACGTGTTTTCTTTTGTTTTATTTTCCCTCATCAGGGTAGACAGGCGATTTGAAAAGCCGGTTCGGAAAGATCCAGGTTGGTGTCACAGTTGGTGTTGCTCAAATAATCAGTACTTGACAAATTGTGCTTTTTTTAAAAATCCACTCACTTGTTGCTCTCTTATCATTACAGTGGATCCTGCTCCGGGACATTTTCAGATAAATCACAGTAAGTTAGCTTTTTTTGAAGATGTGCCACACTTGAGTTTCTGGTTTCCTAATTAGTAGTAATTGAGGCGATGATGTCATTGTTTTTGTATTACTCACTACTTAAATTAGATAGTTCAGTATACATTGTGTGGTGATCCTAATAACATCCTCACCTACCTGGGGTTTTTGCAGTTCGAGGCACGTATGAGGACGGCGGGACAGGGCTGCCCAGGAAGCACGACTTCACGCGGTCAGAGAGTGAGAACTGGCGTACTTCTCGCGATGAGCAGAACGGTGAGGATGATGAGGGCAGTGACCGGTGGTGTTTACCGAGCCCAGGTGCAGAAACCTCACCACGTACACATTTATCGTTGGTGTTTTCTGAAATGATCCACATTTGAGTAAAATGTGCATCCATGTTGCAACTTGTTCCTGCTCTTTTGGGTTTAAAGCGTTTTACATAAGCTCTGGTGAGAGTTGCCAACAAGTGGGGCTCATACATGAAACCTGAGAGGGTTTCTTGTATCTTCGGCTCCTGTGGGCTGATGTGTAGGCAGCTGGACGGAGCGGATTTTCTTTGTTTATTTTTGGTCAGGTTGTAAATTGAGCAGTTATCAGATTTGATTAACAATTTTGGGATTTTTGTGCCAATCTTTATCTAGACGGGCCTCGGTCAGCAGGGTGGCGGGAACACCCAGACCAACGTCGACGTTTCCCGTTCGACGCAAGAGAAGACGAGCGCGGCTACAGGAGGCAGAGATCAGGCAGCGGCAGTCTGGACGACGAGAGGGACAGCTTACCAGAGTGGTGCCTGGAGGATGCAGACGAGGAGGCGGGCACGTTTGACTCCTCAGGAGCTTTTCTCTCTCTAAAGGTAACGGAGTTTAAGCACAGATAAAAATTACAATTAAGGTCTCGCTCACTCTGTTGATTATGAYCAACAGCCAGACTTCTCAGAACACACTTTTTGTGCTGTGTCTTTCAGAAAGCATCAAAGGAGCCAATTCCAGAAGAAGCAGAGCTTGATTTCAAACCCTTGGAGGAGTGCGAGGAGGGCCTGGAGGAGCTGGACACATCGCCCAGACAGACCAAAGAGACCGATAGAGAGGCCAAAAGAGAAGCTGACAGAAAAGGTCAGTAGTTTTGATTAATTTAGTTTTATTTCCTTCGTGTTTGTGTACTCTGTACTCAATACAATCAACAATACTAAAGTGACACCTGTCATCACTGGGAGTCAGATATTCTTCAAACTTGTCCATACAGGAAAAAAAAAGACCCTAATGGCCGCTTCTTTGTTACATTATTGGATGCTTTAAATGTTGTTGTCATTGGAGTCTTTTGCAGAGTCCTCAGAGACTCACTGCAGCTTATCATTGTGTTTGTGTAAAACTTGAGTTTGTAGATGGATTCTTTTTCCGCTTTATTTTGCGGTGTCAAGCAAGGAAACAAATTTTCTTCTCCCCAGATGTTAGATTAGACAGACAGGGCAACATGAAATAATACTCGTTAAATTATTATGCAGTGTTTTTACTGCTTGAGCGCTTTGTGTTGAAATGAGCAAACCCCTTTAAAAAAAGACACTTTTCTTTTATCTCCTTTGTGGTATTTTATTGAGTTTTCCTCTCTAAAATTAGTCCAAGTGCAAGTAAATGTTTGCTGGAGCTTTGGTAAAGGTGAATTAAAAAACACACTTTAAGTTAGTTTTATTCTGGGGCGACAGCATTAGAGTTGTAAGCATCTGAGTGATTYTACATGTGGCGTAATGTGTACAGTTGATTTTTGAGTGTAATATTGTCATGTTATGAGTAACTTAGTGATGTTTTGTTAGAGAAACAAACCGTTCAAATCATCAGCAGCAAAGAAAGACGGTGATTTTATAGCATGAATTATAATTGATAGTGATCTTTCTTTTTTTTTTAAACCGGTTTTCTGTTTCAGAGTTTTCCAGAGCATCAGAAGAGACTCCAGCTGTGGTTCCACCTGTTTCTTCAGCAGTCCTGGAATGCCAGCCCCCTCCACAAAGTTTAGCCCCCAGCCATCCCCACAGAACAGAAGAGTGTGAGAGACCGGTGGAACAGCAGCCACGGGAGCTACCACCCAAGCCGTGCAAAGCCCCCACGCGTGTCCCCATGTCCGCTAGCCTTTTGGAGTCTCTCCCTCTGACCCACGTTTCCACCACKCTACCAGGTGAGACTTCTTTCTTCAGCTTTAGCGTTAAAGTTACTTGTTTCACCAAACCTAACTTGTTTTATTAATCATTTCATTCAGAGGTGTCTGCTCCATCGTCATCTGTTCATCTAGCACAGCAGAAGCCCGTGGAAGTCCCTGTGGCCATGAGCAATCCCTCACCCTTCACATCCAGCATAATGGCTCCTATACGCAGGCCTGCCACTGTGCCACACGACACCGATGAAGACGAGGGACTGAAACACTTTGAGCAAGTAAGTTTTCAAGGTTTATTTCACACCAGCACTTGAGTTGCACTCACCAGCTGAAAGTCTGTASAGTTAACTGGGGTCCTCTCATACCAGGAGGCAGAAAAGATGGTGGCATATCTACAAGACAGCGTTGTGGACGACGACAGGCTGTCAGCAAAGACTACAGAAAAGCCAAAGCCCGCAGGCCTGCCTCTAACCCARGAAGCAGCTCTTAAATGGTTTTACAAAGATCCACAGGGGGAGATACAGGGTGWGCATATTCAAACGTTTTATAGGCTTAAACTTTAGACTTCACGTTCAATCATTTTCTCATTTTAACCTCCAATTTTGGCTCCTTCAGGTCCATTCAGTAATCAGGAGATGTCGGAGTGGTTTCAGGCTGGTTACTTCACCATGTCTTTGTTGGTCAAAAGAGGATGCGATGAAGTGTTTCAACCTCTGGGGGAGATGATGAAGATTTGGGGGAGGGTGCCATTTACTCCAGGCCCTGCACCWCCACCTCTACAAGTAAGGTTTGGAATTAAAGCAGTGGCCCCTGACTTCAGTTCAAGAGTTATACTCATTTGTTTACAAATTTGTGTCGTCGTCCCTGGCCACAGGTGTTTGATGTAGATGGAATCTTTCTATTTATTATTAGGGCAAATTTATCACTAAGTAAAATCTTACAAGAGAAAGCAATGGCAATAATATCAGTTAATCTTTAACCAGACTCTTACCTTTTGCCGCATGTATCTGGTGACTTCTAGTCAAAAGCTGATTTTGATGCATTCCAATCTGCTTTTAATTAATTTATTAAATTTGTCTGAATACAGCAGGCATTTTCAACAAAAGAGGGATCTAAATCCTGATTTTTTTTTTATTGATCAGAATTGACTAAATTGTTTTTTCCCCCCCAATTGAAACCTAGAAAATTTCTTTCAATAAGGGAAACTTGAGAAACACTTTTAAAGTTCTGGATCTAGWTTAATTTATGCATCCATTTCCAGCAATAAATCTGACTACTTTATTTGTTTAATTAAAGTATTCAATGCTTAGTTTATTGTTGAGCAGGTAAAAAATATATGTTAGGCCCTCACATCCTTCTGACTATAAATGTTTGGACACCCCTGAATTAAAGTCTGGCACTGAGTGTAGTCTAGTTAAGAGTTTGTAGACACCGTATTTTGAGAAAACACTCATGTAGCATCTAATATTTATACATGTAGTCATGTGATTTTTTTTTTTGATACTGTAAATATATGCACTTAATGGTTTAATGTCACCAGATGACAAATGAGGCAACAAATGCAAACTGTACTGTGATTTACATTTCCAGTGTTACAAAAACAAAACAGTTGTAAGATAAAGTTGACGGTAACTCCAGCTGCAGTACCACGCAGTGACCTGTAGATGGTGCTGTAGACCAGATGATGATWGGCTTTCTGAGAAATTCATTCAGCTTGATGTCTTTTTAGTTGCTCGTTTATTGAGATGCAGATTTTTGAAAAGATAAAAATGTATCATTAATGCCTAAATTAGCTCTGTGTCAAACTGATTTAGATTTAGATTTTATTTCTTTAAATAGCCCTTTTGCTCAGAAAGACTTGGAAGGAGAAAGAGGCTAAAATATGAATTTGTCAGGTTTTATTATTATTATTATTTAAGCTCTGCATTTTTCTGGAGCCGTGGCTTGTTCTGACTTTACCCTCCTCTCTGTTGCAGTCGGATGGTGACCAAGAAAGGTTGAAGAGGCAGCAGGAGCTCACGGCCCTCAACCTTTTTCAGTTGCAGCAGCTCCAATATCAATACCTCCTCAGGTACACCAGCGTCACAACCAACACATTCCCAAACAAACAATAATAAACAACACAGTTCCCTCTAGAGCCAGGCACTTTATTTATTTATTATTTTATTGTTTCAAATAATAAACTGTACTCTCTGAAGTATCTTTCTCAAGTATGTTTTGGTGTTTGAAAAGTGTATTGCTCATGTATATATGGAAGTAACCTAACTGCACGCTGTGATTTGCATTTTCAAAAAAATGGCTCATTTGCAGTTTTTAAATATAAGAACATGGCATGTAATTTACTTTATATATTGGATAATTCAAAATAAAAATATATATGTTTMGACTTTTTWAAATAGTTTTAAATTACAGTAATCCAAGTCAGTAAAATAGGCATTACCAGTTTATTTATGAATTTTACTTGACTTGCATCAAATTACAACTGGGGGCCAGATAAACTCTCATGCTCATTTACTTTTCTAAGTTTCCATTAACTAAAATATAAAGGCTGTTTATTTTTCACATCAGTCAAATTTAAGCACGTTGACTAGAAGTTCTCAAGTCATTTGGGTCTGGGGACCCCTTACAAGGGCAAAAACAATTCCAGGGACCCCCTCATAAACCCCATGCTGTTTTAAAAGATAATTTGTCATTTCAACCCTTAAATGCCATGGGAATATATGTTTTTAAGTTTATTATGTTTATTTTTATTAGTTCATTGTTCTCCATGCATTTTTAAAAATAAAAACCAAATTAACATTTAAGTAAAAAATTTTGAGGACCCCYAGATACCTCTCACGGACCCCTGGGGGTCCAGGGACCCCATTTTGAGAACCTCTAGACTAAATAGCTTTACAACAGCTCTATTTACTCTTACTTTGCTGTAGACTGTTATGATTAGTGTAGTAATGTTGTGTAATGCTGTGATCACTGTTAAAATGTGCTCAGTGCATATTTTCATCAGTATTTTCTAGTTCTGAAAATGAAAATAGTCACAGAAAACAACTCGGCTGAAAACGCTCCAAACAGATGCTTTGTACTTCTGTTGTCTTTAAATCTGCTCCTTCAGCTGAGAAACCTTTTAATGCATAACTGAAGTTAACCCACTTGTTGAAACAAAGATAAATATAAAAAATGCACCTCTTTATTTTATGGAAATAATCAGCTGAGGGACTTTCTTGRTTCCTGTTTGTCGTCTAACGTTTTRTATTATCTCCTTGTCACAGGCAGCAATATGCCCAGGCTATGGCCCAGCAGAAAGCTTTAGTTCTCAACTCCGCTCCTCTTCAGCAGCAGCAGCAGCAGCAACAGCAGATAAACCACCTTCTACAGCAATACCAGGCTCTGAAGATAAGGTGGAAAATATTAAATCCTTACAAAACGTGTACTCCTTCTGTTCACATAAGTTTTTGATTTTTAATCATTTCTTGCAGCGTTTGAAGTATTTTCGTTTATTTTTTTTACTTGTGTGTCGCTGCAGTGCTTCAGATAGCCTTCTACCTCCTGTCACTCGATCCCTGTCGGTACCAGACTCTGGTTCTGTGTGGGAAATGCAGAACCCGTCCTCTCAGGCTTGCTGCACACCGAACCTCCAACAAGCCGCCACAAGCAGTGAGTTTGCATCTTGTTCTGACTGCGGGATGCCGGAGGGGCTCTGTGTTGTCGTGCCTAATGTTTTCTGTCCCCTCAGCATGGGATGGCAGCAGTGTCTGGGACTTGCCGATAGACTCGGTGGCACAAGCTCCAACGATCGAGCAGATGCAGCAGTTTGAGAAGGCAAAGTCTGCAAAGGTGAGCAAACAACCCGTGCAGCCGGGCACTTCCTGTGTCTGTGGGTAATAATAACCCTGTGCTCATTTGATAGTTGGAGCTGGAGAGGCGGGAGGCGGAAATGAGAGCAAAACGGGAGGAAGAGGAGCGAAAACGCCTGGAGGAGGCTCTCAGGGCTCGACAGGAGGAGGAGCGGAAGCGGCTGGAAGAGGAGGAGTTGGCGCGACAAAAACAGGTCGAGCTGTTTTACCGGTATCTGCTCGAATCGCTCAAAGCCTTTGAGTTACCAGTTTGACTGACCCAGTGTTTGAAATGTTCAGGAGGAGGCTTTGAGGCGGCAAAGGGAACTAGAGGAGGCGCAACGTAGACAAAAAGAAGAAGAGGAGAGGCTGGCGCAGGAGGAAGCTCTCCGAAAATTAGAAGAAAGGCGGAGGGAAGAGGAGGAGAAAAAGAAACGAGAAGAGTTCCTTCGTAAACAGGTAAGCTCAGACAGATGTGATTTTAAAAAGAGTTCAGAATGTTTCACTGATTTAATTTAAAACTTTTGTATCGGGCTCATAAAAACTCATTATCTTCAAACATCCAATTACATTTTGTTAAAAGAGAGAGTTGTTACAATCTGAAAGATAGAAATCTTTGTCTAATCTAAAGCTAGAGTCAGTTTGAGGGAACAGAGTACTTCAGTCCAGGGAATTAAATTATCGAATAATCTGGAGGATGACATTAAAAATGCCAGATAAATGTGTAAATTTAAGAGAATAATAAAGGTTAATTTGTTGGAGAAATATGTATGGTTATAATGTACGAATTGTTGCTCAAGAAGGAATTAAACCTTCTTTGTTTTTCTTTTATTTTGTGTACGTTTTTGTAAAATGAAGATTATTTTTGATTGAATTTATTTCTTTGAGATAAAGGGGCAGAAATCATAAGATTTTTCTTCTTCTGCTACCTCTCATTTAAAGGGGACCAAATATGCAAAATGCACTTTTTTCAGTTTTTTTTACTTACATTTGGGTCTGTACTGCTTCTAAAAACAGTCCAAGCACCAAAAAAATGCACTCAGAGGTATTTTTACTATAAGTAAATGTATTTTTCTGTGTCTTGAAATGACCTGTTTTCAAACACCACTACTGGAGTGAGACTTGTGATGTTACAAGTCTCACTCCAGCCCACCCCAACCTGAGCCCAGCTCGTCTCCTGGTAACCCAAGCAGAGACTCCGCCCACTTCCTCACAGGACGGTTCTGCTGTTTATGGTTGGGCATAATTGTATCGTGTGCAATTAATCGTCAGAAAAACATTAATCGATTATTTTTTGGCACTTGATGATTAATATAATTAATGCCACAAGGCAGAGTCCGCTTGGTGCTCCTCTCCGCTTAAAATATGAACATAAAAAAATAGTTATGTAATTTATCTATCAACACAATTTAAWATTTGATGTATAGCCTGAAGTCTGTTATTTTGACACACTTTGGAACAAATTTTTATGAAYAGCAAATCTTTCCCACTAAYTTGGTCGTGTCCAGGGACTCSAGGGCATTAATCATCAAATTAATCGTTACCGGCTAAATACCATAATCAATCGAGTTTTCTTTTTTTCTGCCAATATTGCCCAACCCTACTTCTGTTTTAGAACAGAGATGTGTGGATTAATTTTATTTTTATTTAATTTTATTTTTATGGCAATGTTCTATCAATATTAAAGAAAGTTGGTGTAAATAATTTCACCGTGAACTACTTTGGAAAAATAGTACTATCTACTGAAAAGAAACTAAAAGTAAACTCTGGCGGGGGGCGGAGCTAATGTAAACAAAAGGTTGGGACGGGTTTTCCATAGCAACTTATGCAAAGCAGCAGGTTCTGAAGAAAGTTGAACAGGCAGAACTGAAATGGTGAAATTTCATTATCTGAGATTAATTTTGTGAATTAAATCAAATAAACATGTTTTGTATAGCCCACAGATGGATCCTAACTTGTTCTAGGACCCCCCTGTTAGGTCTCCTTTAATTTATGATTTGTATTTTTTTGTGTGTATTAAATTTATGTTTTGTTTTAAATGAATAAACTTTATAAATAAAAAAATAAAATCTATCTTTATCAGGAGGAGGAGCGTAGAAAGCTAGAAGAACTAGAAGCATTAAGGAGGCGCGAGGAGGAGAAACGGGTGGAGGAAGAGGCGGCAGCAGCAGCTGCGGCGGCTGCTCTCGCACAGCAACAGGAGGAGCAGCGAAGAAGGGAGCAGGAGGCCCAGAGACAACAGGAGCTGCAGAGACAGAGGCAGCAGCAACAGGAGGCCCTCAGACGGCTGCAGCAGCAGCAGCAGCAGCTCGCACAAATAAAGGTACGAGCTGCAGGCTGACCACACATCACAAACACATCAAATGCACTTCAATGATGATCATTGTTGCTGTTTTTCACAGCTTCCATCTTCTTCTAAATGGGGGCAGCAATCAATCAACACTACAAACCCAGGTCAGAATGCTCTGTCGCTGGCAGAGATCCAGAAACTAGAGGAGGAGAGGGAGCGACAGACACGGGAGGAGGTGAGAACAGAGCAGCCTTCACCTCAGCTTGTTTGGTTACGTTATAACCTTCGTTTGCTCAGAATGTTTCGTTTGATACAAAGAATATTTCCAAAGTACAAAGTAAATATTAGTGGTAAGATGATCTGTGACGTGGCTGATTATGTTGCTTTCTCTGTCAGTTTTTTTTCCCCCTTGCTATCAAAAAACATGTTTGCACATTTATGCTTTTCCTTGTCCTGGCAGCAGAGACGCCAGCAGCAGGAGCTCCTGAAGCAGCAGCAGCAGGTAGCCCTGCAGCAAGCTCAGCAGTCCCAGGCCAAGCTGTCAGGTTGGGGCAACATGGCCAAACAACCAGCCATGACCAAGTCTTTACTGGAGATTCAGAGGGAAGAAGCCCAGCAGATGAAGCAGCGGAAGGAGCAGCCGCAGCATCAGCACCCTATCGCCACCCAACAGACCCGCCCTCAGAACAGAACTGTACGTACCTCACTACAACAGCACCTGAATGTGTCAAACTGGGTGGCTGCTTGTGGGTTTATGTTTAGCTTTTTGTTTACGGAGTCGCCTCTCTTCCCAGACGTCACTCAGTAACTCTGTATGGGGGTCCGTTAACACCAGCACCAACTGGGGCTCAGATCCCAGCAGCATCTGGGGCGACGCCCACAACTCAAACATGGGCTTCTGGGACGAGGCCGTGAAGGAGGCAGTCCAACAGCAGCCTCCCCAGAACAAAAAAGGCAACTCTCAGAAGAACAATAAGGGCAACGCCAACCTCAGGTATTTATTTAGGGACGTTATAATAAAATATCATCTTCGTCACAGCCTCTGATGAAAAGCATGACTTATCATGTGAAGGATGTGAGTAATCCACAGATCTTAGTAAGTGCTTTTGTCTTCCCCTTTGTGCACATAAAGTAACTCTTTGAGTGGGCGAAGCAGCAAGAAGGTAGAAGAGGAGGAGAAGCTGCTAAAGTTGTTCCAAGGCGTCAGTAAGAGCCAGCAGGACACCTTCATGCAGTGGTGTGAGCAAACGCTGCACACACTCAACACGGCCAACAATCTGGATGGTAAATATTAGTCACTGACAGCTAGGGATGGCGCTTTTCTTTAAACTTTAATTCTGAATGTTCTGGTTTTGGTTCTGCCAGTTCCTACGTTTGCATCCTTCTTGAAGGAAGTGGACTCTCCATATGAGGTGCATGACTACATCAGGGCCTACTTGGGAGACACTCCTGAATCCAAGGACTTTGCCAAGCAGTTCTTAGAACGTCGTGCCAAACAGAACGCTAACCAACAGAAGCAGGCACCGTCGAATCAGCAGCTCGCCAAGCAGCAGCAGGTAAAACAGGGTCTGAACCCCTCAAATGGTCAATGGACTGTACTTATATAGCACCTTTCTATCCATCCAGGACACTCAAAGTGCTTCACACTACAGACATTCACCCATGAACACACACGTTCACACACTGATGATGGCAAACTACAATTGTAGCCACAGCTGCCCTGGGGCGCACTGACAGAGGCGAGGCTGCCATACACAGGTGCCACCGGACCCTCAGTGGCTTAATAGTGTGCAGATGCATAAACAGTGTAACACCCTCCTCGCTAACATTACCATTAGCCACCATTAGCTTACCGTCCTCTGTCGTCTTGCCTCTCGTCTTAAGCATCAGCTGCTGGATGGTCCGGGACAGTCTTCGATATGTTTCTAACAGGTTTGCTGTAGTTCATTATTGTTGTGTTGCAAATAAAARGGAGCAAGATTCACGTGTTTAATATTATGACCCCGCCCACATCGAGGCAGCGGTAGAGTCAGGCCAGGCCAACTGAAGCCTGAGCAGCAGAGCTGGTCCTTTTTTTTAATGCAAAAATACTTTTTTCATCAGTACCTGTTATAATACTGGTGTCTGTTTCYGGACACCATTAATAAAAATATGTGTTACATTTCCCCCATGTTTGTTTTAAGTTTATATTTTTCCTTACTGTTTAACTTTTATTAAATCTTAATTTGTATATTTCTTTATTTTACCCCAAGGACTCAGTGTGGGGAGGAACAGGACCTTCAACGATCTATCAGTCGAACCACCTGAGCAGCCAGCAGCAGCAGCAGCGATTTGAGACGGTCACCTCAGGGAAGAAGAAAAAGAAGCAGAAGATGGTGCGAGCAGACCCCAGCCTTTTAGGTGAGAGCAAATATTCATCTACCTTTTTTTTTAATTAAAAAAACAACATGGTTGTGTTTTTCATCTCATGCTAATTGGACCTTTTTTCATCCTCAATCTTATTTCAGGGTTTTCTGTGAACGCGTCGTCTGAGAGGTTGAATATGGGAGAAATCGAGACTCTGGAGGACTTTTAAAGGGACTGCAGCCGAGCGCCTCCCACTGACTGTATCCAGTTTGAGCAGCAGCTGTTTTACGTTCTCCTTTACCGTTCCCTCAAGTTTCACCTCTGTTCAGTTTCCAACAAATGAACATCTAAAACCTCAACCTCTGAGTCAGGGCCATCCTGGAGCAAACTAATTAAAACCTTSAATAGAAGAGTCTCCAGAGGTTTTGGATTGTCACCATCTGGAAACACTTCCAATGGATCTCAAATTCGGCCTCAGTTTGTGGATTATTTTTATTTAATAAGTGTGGATATAAGGGTGGGGTAGTATGAAGGCAAGGTAGAGAAATAACATCCATTGTTTTTGTTTTATTTATTGAAAACCCTCCTCTTCCTCCTTTGCCTCCTCCCTCCCTCTCTTTTCTCAGCTGGTTGTTCGTGGATAATGACGGCAAACTAGAGCCCAAGGATTCGTGCCCACTTATGTCCTGTTTTAAGGACATGTTCAAAAGTTCCAACTAGTTATCTATTTCTTGTAAAATACTAGGCTGTTTAAAGAATAAACTTTCAATTCTGCATCTGTAATATAATATATGAAACTGATCTGCTGGAGTCCTACTTTTTTATTGCAGTCTGAAATAAAACAGTCTGATGTGTGGGCTGTTCACATCTGTCTCTGAACTCTTCACAAGCAGTGAAATGCAGGTTTTATGGATCCCACCGCACCACAGGAAGCCATGTTTTACACAGCTGGAAATGTATGATCAATTAATCTTAATGCTGCTATTTGTAAACTAAGCATTTTAATCCCACCTGGTTACAAAATAGGTGATTTTCTAAGTTGCAGTGAATTCTGCTGACACTGATATTTTCCACCCTATTCGACAGCCACAGAAACGCAGCCAGGTGACGTTTTAGGAAGTAAAACGGCGAGACAAGTGTCACGGCTGTTGTGATGTTTATCTACGTCAGGCCAGTGATTGTTTTTTTAAAAAAAGTGTCAAAGAGGAAATGAAAACCACCAATTCTCTTTTTTGTCTTTACCAGCATGTGTTGCATTGTTCTAACTTAACAAAAAAAAAAAGAAAAACTGCTGCTCTGTTCTGATCCTCTTATCTGTAGAGATTTAGTTCAACTAAACTGGTCTTGATTTTCCACAAGATAACGTGTTCAGATCGAAGAGGATGACAAAAGATTGCGTTTTGTCTTTCTTTAATTCAGCCGCAGTTTAACTGCTTCAGGCGCTGCTCAACTTTGAAACAAAGACATTCATATGGAATAACTTGAACAAGTCAAAAAGAAAAAATTTGTATAGGTCTTCTGGACGGGTTCTTTAATGAAACGTTTCGTCTCTCCTCCAAGAGACTTCTTCAGTCTGAGAGTTTC